ATCTGAGACTCATGACTGTCACAGTGTACTGCTCTATGATCAGAGGGTATGAACGCTACATTTCCTACCTGTCTCCCCGTTCAAGGTCCACAGTCTTCAACGTCGACGAGGATGCCCGCCCTAACAGCCTCTTGAGCAGCCACAACTGGACGCAGCTGGCGAGAAGGCCGACCACAGCTGCGCCCAGGACGACTCCCAGTAGGGTGGTTGAGCAACCACATGTACTGGAGTCGTTGGGATTCGACTCGGTGCCAGTGGTCGCAGTCCTGAAGGAAAATAAGAATGATTCAAGACATTATCGCTCTGTCTATACTATAGAGAAGATTCCGGAGATCGCCAAGTAATGAGTTAACTTACTTGTTATCGCCGGGCTGCTCGGTCGTTGTGCTCTCCAGGCCTGCAGGAGTGTGGCTCGACCAGTCCGGATTGCCCCCAGTGGTCGTGCTCACGGGAGCCTCCAAGCTGACACCACTCCAGTCCACCTGGCTTCCGCCGGTCGCCGGATCGATTGGAGGCTCAATAGTGATACCGCTCCAATCAATCGGGCTCCCGGCAGTCGTCGGTTCCACTGGGGGGTCGAGGACTATCCCGCTTAGGTCCAGCTGATCGCCGGCCGGAGCCATACCCACTGGGGGATCCAGAGTGATGCTACTCCAGTCAAGTTGACCAGTGCCGGAGCCAGCGAGGACGATGATTGCTATAGTGGCATACATTTGTGATCACGATAATACTGAAATTCGGAGCAAATATCCTAGAAGAACTAAAGAAGGAGATTAGAGCGATCGCACTGACCCGGAAATGAATGTTCGTGCCTAGAGGCTGCAGCAGCGGTCAAGATGCGCTGAGTTCTCAAGAGGTGCGTCGCTCAATTTCCAGTCGTCGCTGTGGTCCTCAGCCCGTGCATGCTTCTCGATATATCTCACTCGACCTACTGAAGGCTTGGTAAGCTTCGCTATAGGTCGCCTGAATAGTCGCGGGCTATAGCCCATAGCGGTTAGTAATCATCATCTCCATGTTCATTGTGTTCTGAGTCCAGAGCCCCCGAAGCATGTGGGTCTTGAGTTCTTTGGAGCGATCCGTTGATAACCCCGTATGGGGACACGTGTACTATTCGTTGAGTGCTTCACATATGCATGATAGCGGAGCGAGCCACTCTGATTAAATCGTGATCTCCGTTGTCTGAGAGTTCCCTCCCTTTTTTTTCTTCACCCAATCCACACCCCCCTCAGTTCGCTTGGTATCGATCTCCTGATGGCTGGACCCGATCATGTTCCCCAGACAACTGTCCCGCCTACTTGTGACTGGCCATGACTGGCTGGAGCGATCAGCTTCCTCAACACCAATGAGGGACCCCTGAGCGAGCCTCAACAGCCGCTGGTTGGGTCTCTGAGCCCTGAGTCAGGGTTTCCGCCCTCAGGCAATCCACTAGGGAGGATCCCCAGTAGTCTCATGCCGGCAACGACGTGGGATGGCGTTGGAATGAGTGTGATATGTCTCCTTTGCAAGGTGCGTGTGTTCTCCCTGAGCAAGATGTGTTTTGTGACAGTATTGATGGGATGATGGATAAGCGAGTTACTGTTTATCAATGCCATGAAAGATCGGCGATATGAAGGAAGCACAGCTCTCGTCGACTGGGTTCGTGGGGCATTGCAGCTTGGTCAAAACTCAACTCCACCTCCTCCCATCGAGCGGCTCGATGATCTCGCCTCTACTAAGATTGCTCTCAGACTATTGGCCGACATGTAGTACCACATCGTGGTCCGAGGTGGGTGAGCTCAGCTGTGGTAGGGACCCGGAGTACTTCAAAGCATCGATGTCGGATGCTGAGTTAAAGTCGAATTTATCGCGGTTTTTTGAGGATGTAAGGAGCGGCTGTTGCTCGAGAGAGGCGATGGCTCAGGACTTCGGCAATCCTGTGCCACCAAGAACCTTCGATCGGGCCTTGCAGGATCCGGAGAAGCTATACAGCTTAGTACTTGTGGTGGCTGCAAAATGCCCACGCCATGAGGAGTAAGGGGAACAGCGCGGTGATTGCTATCTAGCTTGCATAGCACTGTAGTTTTCGTGTGCAATTCCACTCTTACTTTAGTAGGGTCAGGTGAGAGCGTGCCGACTCAGATATATCACACACATGATGAGCCTGCCAGAATCAGTACAGGGATATATAAGACAGCGTATCACTTGGGCATCGCAGCTGTGCGGTGAGTCAATTCCTGGTGCGCTCGGTTGATCTCCTGGACCAGATAGCGGTGCTCCTGGTACGGGTTCGGAGGAGTCTGATGAGGAACTCGAGTATAAGAGGCGACATCGGAAGAAGTAGGGCGCATACTACCTAGGAGTCATTGCTTGTTTAGGAGCCCTGAAGGCAGCCTGAAAGGCCATCGCGATGGGAGAGGAGCCTCAACTAAATCGAAGGATAGTCGTTCTTGGTGGGATATTTTCTGATATGGCTGCTGAACATGTCGTCGAGCTCAGGCCTCGATCAGGAGAGATGAAAGTGGCTATGGCTGCCAGCACAGCTGCGGCCGCCAACGCTTCGCTGTCGCAGCATTTGATCACTTCTCTGCAGGAGGAAGTAGAGCGCCTGCAAGTAGACCTGTTTCTAGGAGGTTGGCGAGGAGATTATGCTTAATCAGGGCGATAAGATTCGACTAGAAGAGTCTCTGGTAGAGGCCCGAAATGAGCTCCAGAAGGGGCACCAGGCACTACTGGATACTAGTCAACACAACGAGGAGAAGGTTGGTCGGCTCGGCGGGTGTCGGGTCAGTTGGGAGAACTTGTAGGGTTTGGAGAGAGAGGAAGAGTTCGAACGCGAGCTGACTAAAATGGCTGGGGAAAAGGCTGCATTGGAGCGAAGACTAGCTGAGGAGAAGACTAGGCATGAGGAGGAGACTAATAGATTACGGAAGGATCTGGAAGGGAAGGCGGAGACTGCGGCGATGGTAGTAGTAATCAGTGATTCCATTGCAGAATCATTTCTTGTATAATAACTTACCCCAGGATTCATCCTTGGTTTTTGTTTCTTTCCGAAGGGTGATTCAGGTGCCCGGCTTGGAGAGAAGTGTCACAACACTCAGAGAACAGGTGGCTGAGATGGACTCGTTGAAGGAGCGTAACCGGAGTCTTACTAAGAAGGTTGCCGACTTCGAACAGCTCGTCGCCTGTGAGATGAGAACCAGAGAGATGTTTGTATTTCGGTGGATGTTGTCGCAGGCGCCTCAGCAGGAGAGAGTGACAAGTTGGCATTGGAGACGCTGAAGCAGGAAAATAGGGGTCTGAAGTCGGAGTTGGCCGAGATGAGGGCATGCAAGCAGTCACTCCAGGAGGACAGTGACGTTGCGGCTGGAAATTTGGGTACCCGTGTTTGCTGAGGGGTCAGTGTTCATCGAAATGGTCGGTAGCGGCGATACGAGAGGAGTTGGGTAGAACGAAGGAGGAGTTGCTAGCGGCCAGAGCTGCAATGAACGAGAATTCGGCGAGTCTTGGAGATGCGTCTGGGGCGGCTTCAAAGGAGGTAAGGGGTGATCTTGCGCTCTACTAGTCGCTGTTGATTCAGGTGTTAACTCGGCTCGAGCGAGAAAATGAGACACTGCGTGAGTTTGCTGAGGCTAAGGAGCCAGGTTCTTCTATGTTGGTCACTCGGATTAGCAACTTACGAGAAGAGAATGACAGGTTGGGCGACGCCCTTGGGAAGGCGCTGGATCAGGTCAGAGGAGGCGATGAGATGGGAGGCGTTCGACTAAGCCGTATCAGGTCAGACAGTTGGAGGGAGAAGCTCAGAAAACTGATGTCGCAGCGGAAAGTATGAGTTCAGCTCGAGTGGAGAAGTTGACGGACGAGCTCCTGGCGGCCAAGGACACTAATTACACCCTGAAAGCTGAGCTGCATAGCATGCAAACTCAGCTGGCCGTTAGGGAGAAGGAACTCGAGGTTGGGCAGTCGATCGTCTCGTCTAGGGCCAGGAGGGATTGCCATGTTATTGCAGTTGGCTACGGCTAGAGGAGATGGAGGAGGTATCGCCACGGAGGAGCGAGTCCGAGAGCTGGAGGCTCAGAATCAGGCATTAGTTGACCTAATGCAGACTTTGAAGGAGCAGGTCAATGAGAAGCTATTGATTGAGTCTTGAGGAAATGCTTTAGATCATCATAAGGGAGGAAGAGACGCAGATTTACAGGCAGCAGCGACATGAGGAATCAGAGAGCCAGAGGAAGGAAGAGAGGCTCTTGGTTACTGCCCTTTACGAGCTCGGTTTGAGGTAAGCTGTTATGCGAGCTGTTCTGTACTACTGTTGCTGCGCTGTAGATACCACTACTTGCGGCTGACACCTTGTCAACGGTGTGGTGAACTGGCTATAACAGATTCGTGTGTGACCAGTAGCCGTGAGAGTAGTAGTCGGAGCAGTTCAGGACAGTACTCAACGTCACATTAATAAGCATGCATCATTTTATAGGGTCCTGGCGTGTGTTGAGTTGTCTAGTGATATGTTCCCTCGTACAGGGAGGATAGGGAGATGCATACGTCACGAAGTACGTAGACTTGATCGTGGAGGTATCCACTCGAAAGACTCCCATCCAGTTCAGCTGAAGAGAGAAGAGCAAACAGTGCAGAAAGGGTACGGGAAAAGGTTAATCTACATGCGTACTTGAAAGGGAAACTTCAGGGGTAGAGCAAGTTTATTGAGGAATTGAGACAAGATAGTTCTTTACTGCCTCCTCTTTGGTGAAATCCGAACCAGACCGCGGCGTACTACTGTCGATTCGCAATACTTTTCATGCTCTACGACTAGGCTTGACCCAGTTTGATCATTGTTACAACAGGGCGGTGAGGGAATATATGCACACAGTGAACTACATGCGATGGTAGGAATATGAAAATTTGGAGGAAATTTAGAGAAATTATCGTGTTTCTGTACACCTCTACCCAAATCGTGTGTAAATTTCCATAACGCAGTGAGGAAGCTTCCGAGTTCAGTTGAGGCATCAAACATATATTCTCACATTGCCACAGAGCTACCTCGGAACCTCACGCAGAAGGGGTTGCCCTCGTATGGCCACGCTGAGTTTGGTATTCATGCGGCAGTGTCGTAAATGTTATTCTTACGGGAAAAGTTCAGCCTAAATATATCCACTCTATGTGCCTGTGTTCATTTGGGTTCAGCCAAGCATGCAACGCAACGATCCTGACCCAGCATAGCTTCACGCATGGATACAAAATAACGGGCGAGCGCTGGTAGTAGACGTTAAGTACATGCAGATTGCAAGAAAAGTGCAAGATTCGCTACGCCCGCGTGCAACCGTTTCATTTTTGTCTCGGCAGGCAACTTCATCGCTGCTATCATTCTCTTAGTCTAATCTGTCAAGCATGAGCATCTCTGCTGCTGCCGGTGTCGAGCCCACTGCCACTCAGCCCGCCCCCACCACAACTATCCGGTCTTCCACCATAGGACAGGCCCCTCCGACCTCCTACTATGTACAGCCTGGTACTACGTCCCAAATGCAACCTCCTCAAGGGCCCATGATTGACGAGAAGATTGTCCAGAAGCAGAAGGAGAAGGCCCTGAGGGAGCTGGAGTCTCGAGTTAAGCTTGCCTTGCAACAACACGAGCAGATGTATCAGCTGCAGAAGTCCCACATTATGGCCGACCATGATAGGCAGATGGAGTACACCAAGGCTACTATTGAGAAGGAACGTCAAGCTGCTATGTTTGATTTGGAGGGTCAGTATCAGACCAACACTCGAGGCTTGGAGCAATCTGCCATTCAGCAGCGCATGCAGATTGAGACTACTGCCATGCAACTTGACATCCAAGCGCATCAGCAGAAGATGATCATGGAGCACCAGGAGCGAGAGAAGAAGTGGACTGGCCAGCCTGCTGTCCCTCAGACTCTAGCTGTTCCTCAGCCTTATGTTGCTCCTACAACCTACAGTGCTTATGGTCAGCCCGGTGCAAGCTCGGTGACGACGACATACTCGACTACTGTTCAACGTGCGCCGCAGACTACCTCTGTCGAGGCTCCTGCTGCAGCTGCTCAATAAATGTAGAGCATGACTGAGTTTTGTTGTGTATGGTTCAAGAAGTCTTGGACGGTTTTTACATAGCCATTCAAGCTGATCCACAACATGATTGCTCAATTCGATATATATGTTTGATCTTGAGTTGACTAGTTTGGGATGAGATGATTGGGCCTTCGTTAGACTTATCTTGGCATTAAGTCTTGGCTCGTCGGTAGTTTCGCGATCGGGATTTCGGTGTATCTGCAAATTTTAGCATTATGATCGATGGAAGGATGTAGCATATTTGGTTCGTTCTTGAGTAGGCGGACTAGTAGAGCTAGGCAGTGTGAATTTCCCTATGTTCAAGTCTTCGGCCAATCTACATTTCGTTCGGTAATTGGGTTGATCATATGAGTAGCTTACTAACGTTACTTTTCTTTTTGTTCCGAAAACGATGCGGATAAATCAAAGGCTTTATCGTGTTGCATGCCCTCTCGATTCAATATCGTCCAGACGAGCGAGGATTACCAGTAACGCAATGGAACTGTTAAGCGAACTCACAATTGCCAGTACGTTTGTTTCAGATGATTTGAAAACACCCTCCGAACTCACTCAGGAATTCTCCCTGTAAGTCACTGCGATGCAATGTACGTTCCTCAGTTGTAGGAACTATCTATGACAAGTCATGCCCAAGCAGTGGGGACTCCCCACTGGAGAGCGGACGGTAAACAGCGTAAATCACATTAATTGTCAGTGCTACCTACTATCTCTAGTCTCAAACAGTTTGAGACTAGAGATAGTAGGTAGTTTGAGTCAAACTCAAGTCCTAAGCGCAATACGTTACAGATAAACCAAGTGAATGTCAGAGGTAAAAGCATGACATAGCAAGATTTGAAGTTATAACTGTCAGCTTGCAACACCAACGGGAATCCATAACTGACATTGGCGCACAAGTGTCAAGAAGATGATATGTCATAGGTAAGTAAGACGCGGGGACGGTTTTTCTACCCGCCGGGACCGTTATGGGGATCCTCCACTTCCCCTCGAGGGCGCTAGGAACATAGGGGGAGTGTAACACTCTGAGTGACGATAGTTCCACTAGGAGGCCAGCAGCAACATGGAATTCCCATGATGGAAGTTGAGTTTCGTGCACCTTGAAGCATTGATAGCACTTATCAGCTACGACTTGCACGAAACATGCATCACGGGTCGTAGACGCAAGGGGGACGGTCGCACGGGGCTGATACGTGGTTTGGATCGTGATTGCAGCTCACTTCCCCTAGTTATACTTATACTTCCCTATGCAAATCGTTGCAAGTCTCCTCTTCGTTGCTGCTATAGTATCCGGCGCGGTAGACTGGAGTAAGGTCACTATCGAGCCGCCGATGGTTCCGACGCCGACTGCAGCTGGTCTGAACTTATCGAGCATCGTGCTTGACGGTCCAGGCCCCCTGGCGGTTGGGCTCGACTGGTCAAACGTTACCCTCGAGCCACCAGGAAGCTACACTCCTGCGGCCGGACAGCTGGACTGGTCAACCGTCCCTCTCGAGGGAACGGCAACTCCAGTAACTGCTGGTCCTAGGCAAGAGTAGGCGGTGGGGGCTCGTCGTCTCGACTTCATTCGTTTCATCCTCAGTGTTCCAGAGGCTGCCAAAGATTCGGCAACTGCCAACGTCTGTGCGGTTAGTGCAGGGTGGCCAGCAGAACTGATTGGAATCCTCCTGGTGATCAGTCTAATCGGATTGATCACCAGCAGTGTGCAGATCTACCTGCTCAAGAGGCTCATGGTCAAGACGATGGCGCGGGATGAGGTCGACGTTGAGCTAGGGAGGTGAGGGATGTCGTCTGACACTCGAAAGCTTAGAAACCTAATTATCGATCACTGTCACGAGAAGTTAGTCGTCCACTATACGCATTCAGATACAGGGTTCAAGAAGGAGCAGAAGCATCAGTCAAGGAGGCTGTGATGGGCCTGTGACGGCACTAGTCTAGCATGTCTACATTATCATGCGTGAACAATGAGTTGATGTTGAACAACGCATTGCTTGAGTTTTTATCAAGTGCTCAAATGTGGGACAGTCAGATCAAAACTCGTATGAATGAATTATGGTCTCGCATTACCTCTGACGTCCACGATACCAAGAAACTGCACAGAACAGACTCACGACGTTCAAAGCAAGCGATTCAATACTACGCGTTGTTGTGTATACCGAACATGGGAATCATACGAATGATCTTATCACGATGATCGAATATATGATTTGATGTTCATGGCAGATTAGCGGTGGAAGGTTCATGACATAATCGATTGCTGTAATAAGATTCTCCTCTTCGAACTCTGTCATTCATCCGTCCAATGTTACCCGCGGTGTTTAGCATTTTGTTGCGGTGCTTCTCCTCCTACGGGAGCAACTAGTGCCTTCAAGATACACTTCAACATGAGTTACCACATTAATCAATCCGGACCAAATAATGGCCTTTACCTGGTCTGAAGGACACTCAAAGGAGCTCAATCCCGCTGCGAAGGTTCCAACGCTACGTCGAGCTCTGCCTGGGAGAGTCTCCCATAGGTCCTGAGTGATATTAGTGGGTCTCTCACGGTGAGGGCCTCAACTTCTCGCTAGCATTCTGTAACTTCTTTGATCCTCTGGCAACGGGGCCCCCGTTACGGGGGCATGCGTATAGCTCTAGTAGTCTCAGCATGCCGTAGTGTAGTGTGCACTGTACACGTGATCGGCAATCAGAGCGGAGCGAAACAATAAATATCGCGTCGTTTTCGGCGCCACCGTTGTACGCATACGCAACGCCACAGATAAACAGAGTGCATCTGAGTAACAGCAATCACGAAGTCTGTGGAGCGACTTCCATGTTCTTAATAGTGCTGCTTCTAGATTTCTATATACTATCCCACTACTGGATGACTTTGAGCTGTTTCCTATTTTCGTTTCAGAGCGTTTGAAAATTGGCGAATGGCTGACGAATCTAAGGCTGTTCAACCGCTCGGCAGCCTTCCTAAACTAGGCTTGCATGCTCAAGTCTCTCGACTAGAGGTGCCAGCAGAAGGAGGGACAGTGGCTTATTCCTGTTCTATGGTAGGCGTTGATAACAGAGACTTTGGAAACATCACGTAAGGAGGCAGAAACGCTGAGAACTGCCAGGTCGCAGGGCCAGTCGATTGCAGTGAGACCGGCCAGGATAGAGAAAGCGTTGAAGGGAATGAGAGATAACATCAGCGAACGTGAACTGGGCAGCTGACGGAGCCTTGATTTCGTACATGAGTTGAGCCCGTCAGACGTTAAAAAGAGGCAGAGTGTAGCCCTCGCATTCTTCGACCAACAACGGGTCGCTAACGAGAAACTGAGGAATGAGATTGACCTATTACAAAACGACAATGTGGGTGATGGTCTTGTCTGCTTGGAGACCTTTCTTCAGTTGTCATTGCAACAAGCCGTGGTGAAGCTACAACGTCGACTCAGGGGAGTCGAGCTAGCTCTTGGTGAATAGAAAAGATGATGCCCTTACTACATGCTCTCGTCTCTGCCGTTAGCGTACCTTTCCTAGTCTCGAGTTAGTTTTATAATACTTCATTGCTATGGATTGCATGTGATATTTTTGGTAGATTTTTTGACTTATTCAATGCATCGTCCCGACAGCGTCCTTTCTAGGGCCGCACTGGCTCTTGCTGTCATCTTCGGGTCGTTATTCAGAGGAATTTCCGCGGATGGGAGGGCGGTCGAGCTTCACTCTTTTACGCAGGTAAGCAGAGTGCTTGGAACTGGGATGCCCGAGCTATCGATGCAAACAGAAGTTGGAATGCGGGCTCAGTTGTGGTATCATTAGTTCTATTTCATACGCATACCCTCTGAAGCAGGCATTCGACTTCTTCAGACGACAATAAGTCATTCAGAAGTCATTTTGCTGCCGTTGCTGAGGAGTGAAATTTCTCGATGACTTGGGTTCTCAATTTGCGAGTGATATGGACATTTTTATGAGTGCATTGTCGAGCTTATCGATTGTCTTATCTCAGGAAATGGATTTTCATAAGTTCACATCAAGATGGGATGCAAGCGGGACGTGCATACCGCTCCACAACCACATCTCTCTCTCGCCAAGGGCATCGGACCGATATGGCGCGCTTTGGCATAAGTAGGGTGTGGGGACGAAGGCTCCTCTTGAGCTTTCGAATATGGGGGAATCTTCGCAGTGCGGTTGTGTGAAAGATATCCTCTTCGAACTAATGATTTCGAGATTGAGTTTACCATAGCGCTCAAGTCACCGACTGTGGGAGGCGACCCGGCCCATGAGCAGGTGAGAGGGGAGAGGCTGTTCACGTTCGGGAAGGGTGAGTGTTCTGTTAGGGATTTGCATTGTGGTATGTTTACGAGAACGCATCATCAAAGTACAGTGAATTGGCTCATATTACTGACGGAACGACAGACAAGTTGCAGGAGATGGGTAGGCGGGACCCGGGTTCGAATCCCAGGGTAGGCATTTTATTGTCTAACTCGATGGCAGGTATGGGAATGATGGGCTATAAGAGTAACTTTGATGGAGTTGGTATATTCTTCTATAACAACAAGTTCTCCTCCTCTGGCCAGATGGAGCTGAGGCCGAGTGCCTCTATCCTGATCAATGACGGCTCCCAGACATTCGACAGGAAAAAGGATCTTCCATCAGGTGTGTATGATTTCCCTTGTGCCGTCTGTGCAGTAGTATGTACTTCATAGGTCATGGTTCGTATTGGAATTATCGTAATACTAGGCTCACTGTGAAGATTCGATTTAAGCCTACTGATGTGCTGGTGGAAGCGAGGGTTGAGGTAGGAGGAAGAGGCTTGTGTGGTGAGGAAGAGTTCAGTCAACTGTTCAGAACCAGGCGTGGGTCAAACTTATCGAATACCCTATAAGTGATGAAAAATATCGTCTTAAGCCGGGCGGGTGAGGAGTTGTCATTACTGTACAGGTTGACACAGTTCGGGGTTTAGATACATTGGGTTGACCTCCTTTGTTGGGACTACACCCAATCAGCCATCGGAGCGCAGTGATATGGTCAACATCTACGATCTCCATGTTAGTAACTATGACAGTCGAATGATGTAAGGCGGAGGAGAGGGCATCTGGCATGACTCGTTCATGGTTCGCTCAGAGATGGTGAGACGAGAATTGCATACAACCCGTACAGGGCAGTACCTCAGCACGATTTTCTAGAAGAGCAAATCGGTGAGTAAACCGGGGAGTGGCGCGGTTGGTGAATTCGAGAGGTTGATGGTTTGTACGTTGGAGCTCTGAGGGGACCAGTCTCAGCTGACTGGAATTTGGATGTGTTTATTTCATGTTCGATGCATATTTTGAATTTACTTTTGATTACGTTGCCGTATTGGTTGTAAAGACGGTCATTGAGAGAGTAGAAGTGGTTTGAGCAAATCTGTTGAAGAACTTGGGCGATTTGGTGCGAGTTGGGCGAGTCGTGTTTTTGCATGTAGACAGTGGAAATGTGGGACACGCAGAGGCTATCAAGAATCTAGTTCGAGCGACTTATCGCGTTATCATGGAGCTGGAGCCGTTGAGGGGAACGGCAGAGAGGACGGTTGGCGGTTTATCGGTAGAGTTGGGAGGAGTTCCGTGTTGTGGTGGCTGAGGTTCTTGGTTCGAATCCCGGGTGTGTCATTTTTAAGAAGAATCACAGCTTGACGAGTCGTCATTTATCAGACCCGAGTCGAGGAGCTGCTGAAGGAGATGGATGAACTGAAAACGGCTGTTGAGTCGATCGACGGAGGGACCATGGCTGAGCATTACCAGTCTTTGCGGAATGAACTCATTCAAGTTTCGAGGGAGGTGATTATCGCTATCTCGTATCTGGTCGGAGTAATAGTGTCAGCATCTCAGACGATGAGGTCTAGTTTAGAGAAGAGGAGGAGTTTGGACGAACTCAGTGCGCATGCGCAGAAACTGGTGAGTATATGTTTGGGTCTAAGCTGGTGGTGGTGATCTCTGTTGTGATCAGGGATCGTTGGGAGACATGTCGGGTAAAATCAAGAGTCGGTTAGAGAGTCAAGGCAATACTCTGTGTAGGCCTTGGAGATTGACTCAGCAACCAACGAGTGTCGCCCTTGTTCAGTTTACCTGGCAGTTGTGTGTCTGTTTGCGGTTGTGGTCGTGGGCAGTGGGGTGTACGCGAAATTCCGAAGGCTGGAGAAGAAGCATATATTGTAGCTCTATGATCTCCTTTGAGGAGATCATTATCATCGTCATTCACATAATTGTATTTTTCTCATCGCATAGTTCTGGTTACCCCAGCCTAGTGGCTTCTATTGCCAATCCAGTCGGTGTAGAGTTCAGTGACTAAGGAACATCTATCCCCGATCCTATGGTCCAATACTATGCTCTTGATCGATCTTGTTCGTCTCTATATCACGCGGGTTTGTGATCACTCTATCTAGAGTGAGCGAGCGCTTGCTCTGAGTGGGAACTCGTCAAGTAGTTGGTTCGATAGTAGGCTTACCTATTCAGTTGACGACGTTATTGTAATGAGCTTCGTCAAACTTAAAAGAGCTCTTAGTGCGTCATGTACTTGCCGTTACCGGTATTCCTGGTGTGTCTGGGCTCTAGGATTTGTGGCACTATCCACTGCGGTCGTCCTTTCCTCCCATCTCCATCGTAAGCCATTTGAAAGCGCTTTATACCTAATTGTTGTCGCTGTACTACCTCCTATTCTTATCATTTCATATGCATATCTGGCTGAATGTGAGCTGATCGGAGCGTCAGGAAGGCTCTCACGAGCATCGACTCTCAACGCCTCGGCTCGTAGAGAATACTCGAAGCAATGGAAGATCTGGTCCTCTGGGCATACTAAGTGTGTCTCAATAGCGTCCCTTTCTCGTGAACATGCGGAGAAGGGTGAGTGCTGTAGCATATGTCTGGCCGAGTTCGAGGTGGACGATACCGTCAGAGAGCTGCCCTGTCGTCATATTCTGCACGAGCAGTGTTTTCAACACTTTTTTTATGGTCACTTTCCTCTGGGTGCCAAAAAGCAACATGAATGTCCGCTTTGTCGTGAGCCGTTGGGTCCGTTTTTGGACTGCAGCTTGTGATAATCGATAAACCCTGGGTCTGATGACCTTATAGTCACCCATTGCTGTTTTGGCGGTCTCTCCTGTACCATGCCGTGTATCATGATTATTATGATGGTCGTTATGAATTTCTTAGTGAGTTGAATTTCGTGGCTGTTTTCATGCAGCCGTCCAATAATTTCTCGTCATTTTGAGTCGTCGAGATGCAGCAATTCGTGATTATTATAGCTCTCGCTCGTCTCGTGACTCAATGGTCTTAGCCTTTTCCTAAGAACAGTGTTGAGTTTCCTGCCTGATCGCCATCGTGATGCATTGTGTCAGAGTAGCATATCATCATCAGCCAATGGATAATAACCCGTGGCACAGAGCCCTCCAGCGAGCGTTCAGTCGGCCCTATCTCTGGCTCTGGGCCCTTTGGATCCTCGGCATGGCATCCTTCGGTTTTGGTGTTCTTTACACGTCATCGTCATATGACTATCTCGTGGAGATTATAATATACATTTCCTTTCTGGCTGTACCACCGCCCGTCATCATCATGGCTTATGCCTATGTCGTTGAGTCTCGCTTGACTCGTGTCGCCTCTATCACCGACTTGTCTGCTGATGGGAATGATGCTGCCACGTGTGCTTTCGTTGAGAAATGGTCGCAATGGGTAGAGGCGAATACCAAAAAAGGTAAGGTCTCGTCCTTGGTCAGAAGTTCTGATGAGTTACCCGACACGGAGCAGTCTGTGTGTCCGATATGTATCGACGAAATGCAACAGGACGAAGATGCTAGAAAACTACCATGTGGGCACATGATGCATCTTTGGTGCTTTGATGTATGCTTTACCAAACATTTCCCTCATTATGCGTGTGGTAAACAGCGTCATCAATGCCCCCTCTGTCGGGAAGCATTCGGACCGCCTTTTGTGCCCTGACAGACTCGGTCCACGCAGGCTGCTGTCCGGCGTCGTGGGAGAACGTGGTTGGCATAGTCGTATTTGCCTTTTCAGATTTGGCGCATGCCGTTTTGTATGAGCTGGTACATATAATGAGTTTAGATAGGAGAGTCGTTCTTCGTCATATTATGAGTTTATCAATTTTATTGTTTTTCGCTTTTCCTCATTAAGTGTTCAATCTTTTTCTCAGGGTTTTTACAGTTGTGTTGTGTTTTTCATGGGACACCAAGTGGTCTGAGATAAAATATGGCGATAAACCTACCACTCCTTCGTCACATCACGTTAACACGACGTGTTGGGCAATGTCGGCCGTTCAGCATCATGTCTCGATACGAGGAGGTTAGGCCTGCAAGTGCTGCACAGCCCGTTACTTCTGGATGGAAAGTGAGTGTTACTCACCGTAGCTACTGCTGGGTCGAGTTGTGGGGTCTTCAGCTGCCTGAGCCGGAGGAGCCCCCAGAAACTCCCACTGTGTCTCCCGAGGACGGTGGCGCGCCAGCTCCGGCGGAGATCTATCCGAGGTGGTAGCAGTTACAGTGTTGATGGAGCACTGGATGCGTTGTCAGAATCAAAGGCGGTGGCTATTACATTCGGAATGCTGTTCCTGATGAAGCTAAGCTCATGACGGCAGCAACGCCGGCCCCGCATAGTATGCCGGAAAAGCCGAAGTTTTTGAAGGTCAGCTTTTCGGATCACAGTCAGCATTATAGCATTTTTGTGTGTGTCAGGTAGCTCTCATTGGAGCTCCAAACGCGGGGAAGTCATCACTTATGAATTGCATGTTGAACCAGAGTCTGGCGGCGGTGAGTCCAAAGGTTAACACTACTCGAGAAGAGATCAGAGGAGTAGTCACTGACGGAGACCATCAGGTGAGATGTTGTGGTCACTTGGTTTTACAGCACTGTATTCAACACCTTGTTCTCGGAAGCTACCGTCCATAGTCGGCACATTGTACGTGGCAGATTGTTGTAATCGATGCCCCTGGTGTCATACCGGCAAACCAGACGAAGAGCTGCCGTGCTTTAGCACGAGACGCGTGGACTGGGTCGGGGCACAGGAGGAATGGTCAGTTCATAATGTGTGGCTCTCCAATTGTAGGTATAATGACTGCGATCTTGTTCTCCTAGTGGTTGATACACTACGAAGACCCGATATGGATTTGGTCGATCTGATTCGGCGAATCGCCCCTAAGCCTGATCTTAGTAAGCCACTGGAACTGCCTGGCTATGTTCGCCGTGGTCTCGTTAGGTACTGAGTATCACGAGCGCCGGAATCCTGATTTGAAACAGAGTGCAGCGGTAGATGAGGAAAGGGAATCAGACAAGAGGCCACCAGTTGTGCTCTGTCTGAATAAAATTGACAAGTCCCAGCGGCTGTGGGTCCAGAAACGAGCGGATCAACTGAAAGAGTGATCGAAGATGCGAAATCTCTCACGGTGAAGTGCTTTGGGCTCTCAACAGGCACGGAGCTTTCAAACAAATCTTCTTCATATCTGCGAAAAAAGATCGGGGCGTGAAGGCCTTGTTGCACTTCCTGAAGACCAGATCCAAGGAGCATATTTGGCCCTTCCCGCCTGATGTGAAAACGACACTCCCCATGGTAGAGCAGGTGAGTATATTCAGTGCGTTCTTTGATTCTAAGAGCGATACAGGTTGAGCAACTTGTTCGCACATACATTTTCTGCTGGTTCAATAAGGATTTACCGTACAAGGTCGAACAACAGACAGGTGAGACACGCAGTACGATTCCGATTACTCATTTTTTCTCGAAAAATACCCGATGCAGGATTCGAACCTACGACCATCTGCTCCGTAGGCAGACATTCTATCCAGCTGAACTAATCGGGCTATGAATATTAGTTCCGTAGTTGCTAGTGCACCGGTCCATCGTTGCTCAGTTGGTTGGACACCTCGTCTTGATGGCGGCCTCACTATCGAACACGAGTTGAAGGTGCAGGATAGTATTGTACTACGGATGATATGCGGTACTCGTAATCGCATAATTCGGCGGCTGCGGCAGAATGTTGCCTATAAGCTTGAACAGGTGCGGTCAGCTGTTACCATTCGCGATTGATACTCTTATTCAGGCTTGGGGTATCAAGCCGATCCAGTTGGTCATTTGGGTTAAGGCCAAAGTAGTTCGAAGGTCGAAAAGAGACATTCAAGAATACCGAGCGCAATTCTTCGAAGCCAAAGCCACCGCCAAGGGAAATCCGAAAGCCACTGTCACACATTGATACTCCTAACGTAGCATGCCCTCCTCGTTTCGCTCCTCAACTATCTGAGGTGGCACACGTTTCTGTCCACATAATGCAGTTTCGTTACTGTTCAATACCCCCTGACTATCTTTCACGTAGCTATACTGCATAACTGTATAGTAACTCAAGTGCCCAGCGTTCGTAGAAGAAAACCACCAGAGTACAGAGATTTGGTCCATATGTACGATAAACTGTATATCCTCTTCAACTCTAACTGCTCTGTACAGAAAGGTTATTGTAAATACATAATGTCCTGCGTCCATATCACAACCGCTCTTACGCCTCAATAGCGCGTAATACTACTATCAATATTCCAAAATGAGGTTCCGATGGCAAAAGTGTCGTCTATTGCCGAACACCTGAGGTGCCCAAAAATTAAACTCCAAGGAGAGAGATACCACGTATTAGCTTACCTGCACTGACAAGCTCCTGAAGTGAATTAGGAGGGAGCATTCCCAAATTGACCAGCAGACCAACCTGTGATGAAGGAGCGATGACATCGGCGAGGCAGCGGAAGGTCCGCGAGCACTACCTGCCACTTCCGTGCCATAACGTCCTCCTTGAGACAATTGGCGATCGTAGTAGTAGTAGCACCAGGCACATCAAGCTTAAGCTCCGTCGGTAAGCATTGCCTGAAGTCGAAGCCGGTAAATCCTAGGGACCGAGAAGTACTTCATGTACAGCGATGGAGTGCCCTTCAATGGACGCGTCTTGGTTGGATGATACTACCTCAGAGCCTCTCTGGCACGGTCGTTCTCGGACAGTCGCTGATAGCATCGTATAATATGCTTCAGGAGACGAGATGAGGGTGCCTCCGCCAGGGATTGAACCTAGGTGCGTCAACGTCCAGTCAAGCAGCGCTGCTTGCCCTCCCAACTAGACTACCATGTTCCCAAGAACCGTGCTGACAGCGTAGAAACGTTCGGCGGTAGCACAGATGTACTGCAGTCCGTTGTCGTCCAGCAGTATCTTCTGTATGACGAACGTGGCGACAGTCTGAGGCCCGATGTGATTCCTCAAGCCCCTACCGGGCATCACCCTTCCTGTACTACCCTAGACAGCTCTGATCCCGTCTCCATTATACGTAGGCACAGGGGGATGATTTCAGTTTGAAGTAGAAATTGAACAACCTGATATGACGGCAGTCAGGAGTCGATCCGACGACCTTCTGATGTACAACCTGCTCATCATCCACCTTAACTAAAGCGCCGATGACTCCCAAACTCGTCAAACGGAGGTATTCGAATGGACGAACCTTCGAGACGGTGTTCAAAAAAGGATATCTGATAACAGACAACCCGTCTTATACAACTCCAAGTACTCTCCCTCACAAGAAGAGAGGGATGTGGGCCTGTAGGAAAGGCTTTCTAGTCTCCGGGTGGCTGGCCAGACACTGCAGTAACGCCAAGGCATTGCAGGCTCTATTGGACACTGCTGCCGACAGGTTAGGCGGGTTCAGGCAGGGGTACACGGCCAGGAGCTCCTAAGGTGGCAGCAATGGTAAGCCCTATATAACTTGATGATGGTAAGACCTGTAAAAGGGCGGCTACAGTGCCGAAAGAATACCACAATATAGGGGCTAGGTCTGGGAAGGATTCCCTCCTCTTGGACAGCTCTAGTAAGGCCTGTTCCCGCTTCTCAGGAATTGTCAAGTCCAACACTGACGAAAATGAATAGTCCCATGAAAGCTGCCATCGTTGAGCTTATACTACCTAGTAGGTAGATCTTCTGCTTCTCAGCCTGAGTCGCTGCCGCTGCTACGACGTTGACCTAAAGTAAGCCCCCCCCCATCACACAGTGTAGGCGATTGCAGTAGTACCCTGTCAGGAGACGCAACCTCTGCTACTCGAGTACTTTTGGATGGGTTCATGCTACGTAGTATATATCACTATCGATCTCCCATGGTCCTGCGCATCGTAGTAGGAGTTTGAAATCTTGCGATCTTGCATTTCCTCAACGCATTCGGTCTGTAGTTCACTTTTCCAGCTATGACAGGTCCACTTTGCTGATAGCAGCATCGTCTCTCGTTGTTGGCAATGCATTTCACGCTTTGTAAGGTAGTGTAATAATCTATTTTCTTTAAATACTATGACCGACCAAAGCAACTCGCCGTCGGCGCCTGCCCCCCAGAACCCTGCTGAGCCGGCCACTAACCCCGTCCCTCACAAGAGACGAAGCCCTCACAGGTATCATCGCATGTACCCCCTAGTTCCTCTTACTTTGTTGAACTCATCAGGCTGATCGTCGAGGAGGCCGTGAATGATGACAACTCGGTTGTTTGCATCTCCCCTGCTAAGATGGAGGAGCTAGGCTTCTTCCGTGGTGACAATGTCCTCGTCAAAGGTAGCTATTGTGGTGATCAGCCAGATGGCCTCGACGTGCCTCCTTTCCTCAGGCAAGAAGCGCAAGGACACCGTATGTATCGTCATGAGCGATGCCGATTTGGACGACCAGAAAATTCGCATGAACAAGGTCTGTATATGCGATCACTGTTCTGTGCATTTCTATCACTCTCTGTCGGTCGCAGGTTATTCGTAAGAACCTGAAGGTCCGTCTTGGTGATATCGTGGGAGTCTATGCTGCCGGCGATGTCCCCTATGGCAAGCGAATTCACGTCTTGCCTTTTGATGACACCATCGAGGGTATCACAGGCAACCTCTTCGACACGTAACACTTTCGGACCTAATATGTATCTTACCCTGTTGAACCTAAGATACCTCAAGCCTTATTTCCAAGAGGCCTACCGTCCCGTTAGACAAGGCGACTACTTCTTGGTCCGCGGCGGGTTCCGTCCTGTCGAGTTCAAGGTTGTTGGCGTTGACCCCGGCGAGTACTGCATCGTAGCCCCCGACACCGTCATTCACTGCGAGGGGGAGCCCATCCATCGTGAGGATGAGGAACGCTTGGATGATGTTGGTTATGACGATATAGGAGGCTGCAGAAAGCAGATGGCACAAATTCGGTATTTTCATCAGAAACGATGCAGGTAGTCATCCAGCTCCCCTTCAGAGAGATGATCGAGTTGCCCCTCCGACACCCTCAACTTTTCAAGACCCTCGGTGTGAAACCTCCTCGTGGAGTTCTCCTATACGGCCCTCCTGGGTGCGGCAAGACCCTCATCGCCAGAGCTATTGCCAACGAGACGGTACTCGTACCTTGGAACTCCTCAGTAGCATCGTCTCCATCTTCAGGGCGCATTTTTCTTTTTGATCAACGGCCCTGAGGTGATGAGTAAAATGGCAGGGGAGGCGGAGTCTAATTTGAGGAAGGCCTTCGAGGAGGTAAAGTCGTCCATCATCAGCTTGTGGCTGCTGACGATGATGCTGCCCCTCAGGCTGAGAAGAACGCCCCTGCTATTATATTCATCGATGAGATAGACTCGATCGCCCCCAAGCGTGATAAGACCAACGGTGAGGTGGAGCGCCGTGTGGTGTCCCAGTTGTTGACCCTAATGGACGGGCTCAAGTCCAGAGGGCAGGTCGTCATACTGGGTGCTACCAACAGGTGAGCTTGCGGCGGCCTGTGGGAGGTCATGTTGATCCCTCGTCGACAGGCCCAACTCGGTTGACCCAGCTCTGAGGCGCTTTGGCCGATTTGATCGTGAGCTCGATATTGGAGTTCCCGATGATAACGGGCGTATGGAGATCCTCAGGATTCATACCAAGAATATGAAATTGGCTGATAATGTTCGGTAGGCGACTACCGACTCATGTTAGGTGGCTTCATCTTCTCTTTTTCAGCCTTGAGGAGATCGCTGCCAGTACTCATGGTTACGTTGGTGCTGATTTGGCACAGCTGTGTACGGAGGCTGCTCTACAGTGCATCAGGGAAAAGATGGACTTGATCGACCTCGACGATGTAAGGAGGGGGAGATATATGTTCACTCTCCTCATCTGAGCTTGGCAGTTTCTGCACTAGTTGTTTATGAATTCGTGTGTAGAAATTTTCCCATTGTCATCGCTACATGTAGTTGACGATGTGTATATTTCCCTACACTGAATGGTGTGGCTGCTATTGTTCAGGATAACATTGACGCTGCTATCCTTGATTCGATGGCCGTGACTCAAGAGCACTTCATGACAGCTATGCAGAGCTGCAATCCATCGAGCCTTCGAGAGACTGTTGTCGAGGTAGGGCATAGTTGAGTAGTTCCTGATGACGAAGGGCTCGTCACAGGTACCCAATGTGAAGTGGTCTGATATCGGTGGCCTCGAGGACACCAAGAGGGACCTACAGGAGATGATTCTGTACCCGATCGATCATCCTGAGAAGTTTGAGCAATTCGGTGAGGCGGCAGTCCTCTCTTCCTAAGCAGGACCTCGTACTGTCCCCTGTAGGTATGCAGCCCAGTAGAGGTGTGCTGTTCTATGGTCCCCCTGGTTGTGGTAAGACTATGATGGCCAAGGCCGTCGCCTCAGAGTGTAGCGCCAACTTTATATCGATTAAGGGCCCTGAGCTGCTCACTATGTGGTTTGGTGAGAGTGAGGCTAATGTCCGTGAGGTCTTCGACAAGGCCCGATCGGCGGCTCCTTGCGTCCTGTTCTTTGATGAGCTTGATTCTATTGGAACCTCTCGTGGCAGCAGTGCTGGTGAGTTGAATCATCCCTAAGGTGGTGATGAACTCTGTTTTAATAGGTGACGCTGGTGGTGCTGGTGACCGTGTTATGAATCAGCTCCTGACTGAGATCGATGGTGTTGGTGCCAAGAAGAACGTCTTCTTCATAGGAGCTACCAACAGGCCTGAGCTCCTGGATGAGGCCTTGCTCCGACCTGGCCGTCTGGATCAGCTAATCTACATTCCTCTGCCCGACCTGCCGGCCCGACAGGGAATTCTGGAGGCCACTTTGAGGAAGAGCCCGGTGGCTCCTAATGTATGTTTAGGAGTAGTCGGCGTAGCGAGATTGTTGGTATTGGGCAGATTCCACTGTCGTTCATAGCCCAGAAAACTGATGGCTTCTCTGGTGCTGATTTGGCTGAGCTCTGTCAACGTGCAGCCAAGGCGGCTATTAGGGACGCAATAGCGGCTGAGGAGCTCAAGGCGAGCGATGGGGATGTGAGCACATTACTATTCGAATCGGCTGCTGATTATTGTTATCTCTAGGATGCTATGGTCGATGCAGATGACCAAGCCTCAGCTGAGATTACTCGGAAGCATTTCGAGGAAGTAGTAACATGAGGTGGTGATGTTGGTGATGAGTTATTCTTAGGCATTCGCTCACGCTCGTCGGTCGGTGAATCAGAGTGATCTCACTAAATACGACAACTTCCGTATGAAGTTCGATCCTCTGTATAAGACTCAAGTTGGTGCTACTGGGGATGCTGGTGTCGTTATCAACTGGCCTGATACTGACAACAACCAGTTCAATAGTAGGTGTAGTGTCGAGGAAAGAGAATGATGGTTATCTTGTCAGACGATACGGCTGATGCTGATGATGATGATCTCTACAGTTAAGTGCTATGATCCAATCTCAAGTATCCAGTGACGCTGAGGGTACGATGAAATCGAGCGAGTTAAATACTATGAAAAACAAGAAGGTTTCAAATGTGATCATCTGACCTTGTGTTGACTTTAGTTAGTCCGTTTTGCTAATGCTGATATAAGATTGGTGGAGAAACTCTCCAACTTTTGGTACTTCGAATTTCGAAGTTCGAAAAAATCCTCGATGCTTTACTTCATCGCTCGTAGTAGTTCTTCGCTTCCGAGTTTGCGAGGATTAGCTGGGTATTGGGGTGCATCGTGGAACCCCAGAGAAGCGTTTAATACCTCTCGAGTCAAGAGACACATTGGTACCATTCGTGGGGTGATAATTATATAACCGATCACTGCCGTATGGTCGAACTCGATAATCTTACGCTGTTCATCGTACATGAATCTCCTCACTGTTAGTAAGGCGAAGACGTGCACACATAGCGGAGGTAATGATTATGTATGCGAGAGGTTCATGAGACACAAAGTTATCATACCAGGAGCATCAAAAACCGACACCTTGGACAAAACCTTGCTAACAATGCAGGTGATGGAAAGGCACAATGGAAGGAGTTGTCAACATTCAAGGTCATATGAAAAGCATATTAAAGGCTCATTTTGATCCATCAAGGCCTGTCGACATTAGTCCCCACTGGTGACAACTCGGAATTAATCATCTCACAGTGACATCTAACATGTCTACATCGGAACGGATAGTAGAACAACAATGGCGGTGATAGCCATAGTAGTATAAATACAGCACACACATATCCATGTTCAACAACGGGGTGAAAGCTGCTTCTAAAAGGATTCTATTGTGACTAACGATGACAGAAATGAAATGGATAGTCACAGGAGCGGGAGCCTCTCCAACTCTAATTTTTCACCTGAAAAGATGTGCCTAGTGCCACGTCGACGAGGAGGGAATCCTACGTATCTCCTCGCGAAGGCATCAAGTGCCATCATAACTCCGGCAAGGTTACTAGTGCTGGGAACTTCAAAGGTGCTTTTCTCAACCTTACGCAGAGACTTGACCATCATGACGGAAATCGGAAGGGGTGCTTTATAAGTATTGCATTGATCATAGACTTTTTTCCCCAAAGGCCACACGACGGTTTCCACATTGTCCACTATCTCCTCCTTGCTACGGGAACCAATCATGCAGATAGATTCCAAATAGCTCCCAAAAGCGGCTAGGGCGGTATCTTCAGAGGAGGTTGGTATGGCCTGGGCGTAATCCCCCTTAATGGCTGTGAGTTCCATAATAGCATCGACCATACCGTCCCAAGGAGTCGGTCTGAGTGATCGATGAATGCAAGGCTGGGAACATCACTCACAGGCCTGGCAAATGGATATGGTGGATAGTGAAGTCCCTATTAAGTGCCATCGAAACTCCATCATCACCCTCCATTTTTAAATGCCACAAAAACTCCTGAAAATGACATGCCAATTCAGACTAGTAAGCCGCCAGGACCGCGTACCGGCTCATTCGGGAGCTCCACCTTCCCTTCTGGGAATATTTTGCTGGCGAACTTGACGAGGATGTCACTCCCCAGTGAAGAGGATATAGCATACGAGTTGTTACCACCAAATGGCCGCCACGTTGCCGACTCGATTATGAGCTGCCTTTCGAGCTCCTTCTGGACCTCGCTTGGTTCGACAGGGCCGCCTTCTTCCTTGCTGAATCTCCCCTGGTTGTAATTCCACGCATACTCGAGTAAATTTCGCATAGTCGTCGTACAAGTAGAGGACTGATGAGTATCTTTAAAGTCATTTTGCAAGCCGCTCCGACTGAGAAGTCCCGTTGCGATGATTTTGCGACGCCTAAACAAGTGGGAAAAGGGGGGTAAAGGGGAACACTGCCAGCGAGTGATGAACCGGCAATTTCAAATTAAAACGGAATATTCCATCACGTATGTTGGGAGCGGATTCCCTTGGCGAGCTCCTTCCTCAACAGATGATCAGCCTCGGATTTCTCACATAGGAATTTTCAAAACCCGTCATGTGTCGTATTTCGACCAGTCTCCATGCTTTCACCCCGCTCCGCGTGGTCTTAGAGAACTATTTAAGTGTAGAGAACTGTATTCCGTTTAAAATTTCCACTCACGAGAAGTGCTCGTGAGTGCCAAAAGCCATGATGTTTCGAGGCGCTTTATATCCTTACGAACCGCGAAGCATTGGATGCGGAAACGCTTAGGGTGGGAGGCTCCTGGAATTGAGGTGGAAGTTTCTTATAGATCCAAAGCCCAATACCATAGGGAACGCTTCTTGCGGTCCACCTTTCATAGGCCTCAGACCTCGAAGCTCATCCGCATCGGTTTCAGCTGACTGATACAGTGTTGTGGATGCGCGTGTGTCTTCCGATGGGATGTGGGAGGAAAGTGAATTTACGGCTACGCCCATTTCCACCGAATTCACGACTCACTTATTTCCACCGCTCTTCGTAAGTGCAGTGTAATACAGCTTAACCTCATCATCCTTCAATACCATCTCGTACATAACATCCGTGTAATCGATAGTAGTGAAGGGATGGACAATACGACAGTAGAAGTCCTGAAGGGCAACGGTCGATACAATACACAACGATAGTGTGAAAAACCCACCTGTCGTCGCAATAGATACTCGTATACTTCCACAGGCTTATATGGTGGACCGTATGCCTCTTCTGGAGGGGGTGGCCACGATGGAGACGAAGGGCCAGCCCCTGCTACTCCTTCAGGAGACCCAACAGGGCTGGGTGGTGGCGGTAGGGGTTCCGCGTCGAGGCTTGGAAATCGAGCACTCAGGCCCATGGAAGGGAAGGTTGAAGCCGAATCCCCCCTCAAAGGAGCCGGCTCAGCAGCATCTGGTTGTTTAGCGCGAATACCCTGAGGAATAAGTAGACATCTTGAGAAAGGTGTGAGCAGCCTACCATAAAAGGTGACTTGGATCGTGGAGATCTCGGTGGTAGGAGCGGCGCGATCTCACCAGATGAGTTCTGAAGGGAAGACTGAGCTGACCTTTGATGACCGTGAATGCAGGAGGGTTCGAACGATAATGGGAAGGGTGAATTAACTGCCCCCGAGCACTATGGCTTGGCTTGGCTTTCACCTCAAGCATCGAGCGTCCTTGTTCAGGAGGAGGACGCCCCACTGTTCCCCCCGACACGTCTTTTCGTCCAGAACTCGCCTTCTGCTCGAGTTGTTCATCGACTATTTCTCGTCTCCTCATAATCTTCTGCATCAACTCGCTGCCTATGGGCATCCCTACTGATGTTGTGGTGGTTGTTGTTGGAGTATTGATTTCTGAAAGCCTTGAATGATCTCATCACATTGACATGATCGGGCAGGAGATGACCATGAGACGAGGACAGGCTTACAGGCTTGGTCGTGGAGAAAGTACTACCGGCGTGGGAGCTCGAATCACTAGGAGGAACGTTAGGTTCTAAGCCTTCACGCTGAAGAAAGACGAGACATCCCGAAGTGTTCGTTGGTGACTATCGGAGAATTTGAGAAAATTTGGGCTTTTGAACGCTTCTACCCAAATTCACATATAAACTCCTATAATTAGTGAGAAAACCCCCGAGTGCAACTGAGGGAAGCGAACTATAAATTTCTCCTCCTATGAGTAGGCATCTTGAGAAAGATGTGAGCAGCCTACCGTAAAAGGTGACTCGGATCGTGGAGCTCTCGGTGGTAGGGGCGGCGTGAACTGACCAGATGAGTTCTGAAGAGAAGACTGAGCTGACCTTTGATGACCGTGAATGCAGGAGGGTTCGAACGATAATGAGGAGGGTGAATGAAATGCCCCCGAGCACTAAACAGGGCATTCACCTCAAGCATCGAGCGTCCTTGTTCAGGAGGAGGAAGCCCCACTGTTGCCCCCGACACGTCTTTTCGTCCAGAACTCACCTCCTGGCCGAGTTGTTCATCGAGTATTTCTTGTCTCCTCACAAGCTTCTTCAACAATTCGCTGTTCATGCCCACCCCTGTTGCTGGTGGTCGTTGTTGAGGCATTGATTTCTGAAAGCCTTGAATGATCTCATCACATTGACATGATCGGGCAGGAGATGACCATGAGAATTCGCGCTCTTCTTATCATAGCACTGAAAATGAACTCACCAGAGGAGGTTTGGGTGGAGGGCTGCCCGGCGGCTTCCTTCCTGATGGTGTTCCCCCAGCTATACGTGTAAAAGGGGGTTTCTGATCAAGTGAGAGCTGACTATGTCGAGAGTGTTGACTAGATGGAACCTGATTTTGTGGTGGCGAGTTAGCGTGAATACCGCAGACTAGAATGATGGCTAGGAGGACATGCATGGGGAATGGGCTTAAAGCGATACAACTACAGTTAATGATGAGTTTCTTTGAGGATATGTGTTCGATCTCGTGGGTATAGATACATGGTCAGAGTGGGCTTGCTGAGGAGAAATGCTATTATGGCGTTGATTACAGTCCCACTACAGGTGGTGGATCGTGATAGATCCTCACAAAAGTAATATGGGAGCTATTGACAGCACAATGAGAGGAGAGATCGACGGCATGACAGGACCGGTTCGCATGGAAATCGAATTTTCGAGCACTTCTGAGGTGGCGCTCGATTCCACCTAAGCGCTCGAACTAGACCACTTTGGAGTGTGCGCGCTTAACGGTTAGTGACCCGATGGATAAAACAAAGATAGGTCCCGGGTTCGATCCCCCGTCCCTCCTTCTATTCGCGTAGTCGAATGCCTTCATCTTGGGGAACCTCAGTGTGACAGACAATTCTTCCCATAGCTGAGTAAGATCACCAATAAGTACTTCTCTCGCTGAGGTGTTTGCTACTCCCACGATTCCACAGTTATGATTTCCCCTTTAATGTATGGGCCAAATCCTAGCGACTGTTCTTGAGGAGCTCTCGAACAACCTCCAAACCTGGGAGGCATCCCAACGTGCAACGACTCTACATCGCATCTTTCGACGATTCCACTCGGAAGATCTTTGGTTGATGTATCGACGGTAGCTTTGCTCACAGCAGTACAGACCGTTTCAGAGGATCTTACAGTTACCGAACATACAGAGGGACATCGATCGAGCTCAATCAAGAGCAAGCTCGTGACGTTCTCGGACCAACTATCGGTGTTGGTGGGTCAACTATAGGTTTATCTTCTTTACATTGCCACACTGAGGTTCTTGTTAGGTCCTTTCCTCTTCATATGGGACGTCTTCTCTATTGCTGACAGCTACGTCGACTCCACCGAGTTATTATGTGCGGCTTGTATATTCTCGAGCTGTGAGCTGCTGGAAAAGGTAAAGTCGCTCTTCCCGAGTAATATTTAGTCTTTCTTTCTACCAGGGTCGTCTTTTCATGGTCCTATTCGACGTTCAAGGCCGAGGGTCGGTGAGTTTGAAGTGCCTGTGTACAATGGGAAGGCTTGTCGTAGAGGTCCGAGTGGCTTTTGTCGTATCCTCTCACCAACGTCTGTCAGATTCTGGCCAAGTGTGTACCTCTTTGTGCGACGGGAAAGAGCGTTTATGCGGCCCTGCGGAAGGAGATGGGCTCATTTTCTTCCTGGTGGGGTTCGAACCCTCTAGGTCTTGATTGTACCCAAGTGGTCAGTTACGCAGATGGTAAAGATGCATTGTCGTTCGAGAGGGAGGGAGTTATCGCACATGCCGATCTAGCTGCGTTGCTTACTCCCATTGAACCGGTAAGGACTACAGTAGGGAGTCTCAGGGATCGTAGCCCCCCTCAGGCGTACTATAAATTGCCGATAGCCAAGATGGGTGATGCCATTGGAGGGGGTGGTTGCACCGATGTAGGAGTATATCCCTATGGTCAGTGCTGTAGTCAGTTTTGATAGGGGGTAACGACCAAGGTCCAGAAGAAGGCTTCGCGAGGTGTAGCTAGTCTCGCAGAGGAGAAAAAACGTGGTGGGGTTGGGGGAAGAATTTAGTTTGTGGGTAGCGGCTTGCATGAGGAATATCCCTGCTGTTCCTAAGTAGAAGCATGAAGTCTATATGGCAGCTGTTTGAGGTCTGAGGATATCGTGGGCTTTTTTCTCTAAGTCCTAGCTTCCGAAGAGGCGACTTGGTATCCTCTAGTGAGTGAAATAAAATCCAACGAAGTAAATGACGCGACTAGGAATTGAACCTGGGTGTGGGATAATGTGCATCGAACACGCAGGCTGCCGTAAGGTAGGGTCAATAATAATCGGAGTGATAATCATACAGTCGTATGTGTAAGACGAGAGACAATGCCTTGGCCTCCGCTCGATGGAAGCGAGCTTAACTAGCGACAATGTGGGAAAGTTATTGATCTCTGAACCCTCGTGAGGATAGTCAGCAGTGTTGCGATATGTGTGCTCGCTTCCCTCGGCTGAGCTCAAGAGCTTACTCACTAGTCAGAGGAGTTCTCATACGAATAGGGTAGAAGTGTAAAGCAACTAACAAGAGCTTCCCAAAATTTTCCCAGGATTTCCATATTGTCACCGACACATGTAGTTGGCCACGTGCATATTCTCCCACACTGGTTATTAGGGCCTTGGGAAGTTGCTCGAGTGAATAGCCTGACGTGAGTTTTCATCGAGTAACTAGGCCAAGGGAGACTGTTTGAGACGCTCCGAAATGGGGAATCTCGTCTGATCTGGGAAGTCTAAACGAAACTCATTGAAATAAAAGCTACGAAATTTATCCTTGGGAGATTCAATAAAGGGGATGGGTTCATTCCAGGTCCATCACCGGCTAGAGGGCCTGTCGCTGGTGATGAGGTAGGCCTGCTGGCGTAAATGTTGCCGGGGGGATTCGAACCTGCGTTATTTAGGTATCTAACGCCCCACCCTACGGTGAGCCCACGAGTACTGATAGTATGACGTGCGGTAGAGTAGACACGCCAGTGGTGAGGAGGGGGGAGACCACCGTGGCTGGTAAGCAGGTTCCCGAAACTACTCTGTCGTTTCACCTTATGCCCTTAGCCGCCGATTTGTTGAGGGCCTCTGACCCTCATGCCTGGTGGATAGCCCCTGCATTACAGCCGCTTGCCATGATGCAGCTCTCACCGTGGGGCCCTATGGGAGGCCCCTTCGGATGGGGCTCTACATTTGTTACATACCGAGTTATGGGAGAGCTATTCGGCCCTCAGGGAAGAGGAAGTGGCATCGTGGAAGGGCAGGGAAGCGTGGCCTCTGATGGCGTTGTGGATAGCGACGTTACTGATGAGGAGATGTTGAGAAGAGAGGTTGAAGTAGATGTAGCTAGTGGAGTTGCGAGGGGAGCGGCTCTGGTGGCGATACGCTCACTTAGAGGGAGGAGTCATGGGGACTCTGAAGAGGAGGAGGAGGCCACCACGGGGGTTGCTGACCTCAGCCGAATGGTCGTTGATGGTATCATACAAGAAGCTATCACTGACTTGATCGGAAGTGATTGCGGCTCTAGTGGTAGTAGTGTCTAAATTCAGAGTTTCCTTAGTATTCCTCTGGTCAGCCGGTGCTGCTTCTAGTGTAGCCACTGATGATGCTGGAGTATCGTGGGACGCTGCGGAACTCAGCCGAATGGTCGTTGATGCTATCATACAAGAAGTTCTCGGTGCCTTGATCGGAAGTGATCGTTCAGATGGCATTAGTGGTAGTATTGTCCGGATCCAGAGTTCCCTAAATGTGCTCCCTGGTCAGTCGAGGCTGCTTCTAGTGTAGCCACCGAGGGTCCTGGAGCATTGTTGGATGCTGTGGAACTCAGTCGTGCGGTCGTTAACGGTGTCGTTGTAGAGGTGGTCGGCCGGTCCGCAGGGGGAGGTAGCGCGAGCCTTGCTAGTGGTAGTATCCTCTTCACTGTTTATTTGACGTTTAGTCGATGTTGCCTCCATCGTTGCCGCTAGGGCTCCTGAGGATGCCGACCTTAGTCGGGTAGTGGTTGATGGTATCATGCAAAACGCAGTGGGACGATGTGGTCATTGGAGTGGCGCTAGTGGTAATACGCAAGTCATTGCTAACTTGAGGCGTTGGATGATCAGGACCATGGAAGGAGGTCGCTGATGGTATCACTAGGAAGACGATAAATGGTGATGGTGAGAGCTGCATTACTCTAGGCATGCTGCACCTGGTTGTCAGCAGTTGTTGTCCCCGACACGATTCCTGGTGATGTTGGAGCAACTGTGGAAGTTGCTGACCTCAGTCGGATGGTCGTTGGTGGCGTTGTGAAGAATGCGGCGAGGGCATTGATAAAGATCAATCCTATCGATGGCGACTGTGGTAAGACTGGCATTATTGAGAGCAGCCCTCATCATTGTTGATGATAAGTAGTTACTCCTGGTAGCACTGGGGAATACGTGGGAGTTGCTGACCTCAGCCGTGTGGTTCTCAATACCGTATTGGAGTGCTCGGTGAGTGGTCTGAACCGGAGGGATCACTCTAGTGGTAGTACTCATAGCATACCGTCGTGCCTCACTGTCTTTGATCATCAGTGGTCGCCCTTGATGATGTTGGACCATCGAGAGAGGTCGCCGACCTTAGCCGGGTGGTAGTTGATTGCATCACGGAAACTGCAATGAGTCGATTGAAGCAGCATCATCCCTCAAGTGGCAGTAGTGGTGATAATGATGATATCATCCCGAAGTGCCCCACACTGTCTTTCGTGATCAGGTCCCGATCCTGATAGAGCCGTCCATGACGGTGGAGCATCGAAGGAAGGTGCTGACCTCAGCCGCCTGGTCGTTGGCGGGGTTATCAGAGGGGCAGTCAATAAGCTCGTGAGGTGTGGTGAGCTGTGTCATCCAAGTGGCGTTGGTGGTAATACTCAAGTCACTTCTAATTCACGTCGAGGCGTTTGATGATCAGCTGCTGGTGATGGTGGAGCATCGAAGGAGGTCGCTGACCTCAGCCGCCTCGTCGTTGAAGGCATCATCAAGGCAACAGTTAATAAGCTCATGAGTAATGACCTGCATCACCATCCAAATGGTAATATTGATATCACTCGAGACTGCTCGCCTTACTGCGTTCCATGATCAGTCGCTGCTGCTTCTACTGCAGCTACTGAGGAGGCCTTGCTGGGCCATCTGGTGTACTACAGGGCACTTATAACGGGTCTTATTGCCACTATGACCAACACGGTGGGTAGTGTGGCGTGAGTAATGTACTCAGCAGCATCCCACCCTAGGGTTCAAGACGAGTTCACTCAAGTTTGGTATGACCTCATGACTAGTTCGGAGTGTCCTGTCGTCCATGTCGCCACTTTTGGTGTCTTTAAGGGCTTTGACCCAAGTCGGGCACTTGCCTTTGCGTGAGTGAATCAGGGAAGGGGCTATGGGGGGAAGTAGTTGACTTTTTATCCCACGTGAATGACATGCCTGGTCTCCTGCGGCTGAAGCAGAGTCAGCCTGCTGCGACGGCTGTACAGTACCTGTCCCTACATGATAGGAGGAGGATGCAGCAGGTAATGTCACGTGGATCCCCTCGCTTTCTCTGGTATGGGCCTCATATTTCAATTGAGGTCGTGTGGGTAGCATTTCGACTTGTATTAGGATCTGGCCGAGCAGGGTATACACTACGCGTGTAGAAATATGAAAGTAGCGGCTGATGAGGATACTCGCTCTAACATCTCAGCAGCTATCCAACGGCAGTTTATGGTCCCCAATAAGGCGACTCTCCAGGGGTAAGTCTTCGGACGAGGAGGAGATGGCTTGAACCGGAGCTCTGTTGGTTGTCAGATACGTCCGTCGGGAGCTCCGACGAATAGTGAACTGCTTGTTGGCTGTGGGCCAGCAACAGCTTGAGTCTGTCTTGGCCATGTGTTGTGGGGGCAAACGTAAGTCAGAAGAAGGCTTAGAAGTGGCCACGACCGTTGACGATGACGCAAGTCCAGATGTAAAAGTTCAGCGTTTATTGTGACTTGATCCTTGATTTGAGTTGCCCACGCATATGCACTACCGTACAGTAGTTGTTCCTTGCTATCATGTATCGACATAGCCGCCGTTGGGAGCGTAGTCGTAGTCCTAGAAGGGGCAGTGTGTTCCAGGGTAAATGCGACAACTGTGGGGGCTTTGGTCACAAGAGGGCCCAGTGGTACTAAGGGGGCACTCTAAGGGTGGGGTTGGTGACTGTTGGTCCTCTCTGCTGTAGCCCGACGCCATTGCTGTGGCCGGCACCATCTCATGGAGGCGTGGAAGAGGCGCCCCGTAGGATGAGTAATGATCGGAGGGCGGGTCCACGAGGAGTTTCACCTTATCGTTATGAAGGAGGTCATGGCGGCCGGGTGGAGGAGTTTTCAAGGAGGTGATGATGCTGACAGGGGAGTGATTGGGCTTTGAAGGGAGACGAGGAGGAGTCGTTACTGAGTGTCGAACCTGTGCGGCTTTTGTGTATAGGGGTTGCGGTTGGTTCAGATCCGGGAGAGATGAGCGTTACCGTCCGACAGTATGCCGTAATTGTGGACTGACTGGTCATTGGGAGGGGCAGTGCGATAAGGAGCCTGTGTGCTACAACTGCAGGAGGGTAGTGGTGATCATGAGAAGGAAGGAAGGGTACGGGATTCGTCCGTTCAGAGCGGTCATCGGGTCAGCGAATGCCCTGTGAAGGAGAGGATATGTCGGAGGTGTCGCAGGCCTGGGCATGAGGTAGTGGCCAGTAGAGTGTTGGTGATGATGATAAGCGTAAGAGTAGGAAAAGGACTGTACGCATCTCCCACGATGCATACTGTGCGATAAGGACGGCCATTTGTCTATGGATTGCCCTATGAAGGATGTCATGTGTCTCAACTGTAAGGAGATGGGACATAGGACCAGGGACTGCACCAACGATATCGTTTGCAACAAGTACGGTTATGAGGGAAGCTGCTGAAGGTGGCTGCTGCTGTAGAGGTCTGAGTAGGTGCCTGAAGCCTGGTCACAAGGTGGCCGATTGTCCTATGCTGAGGGAAGGGGATGAGGTCACCATGGTGGATGAGGAGGAGGACGACGACAGAGCCTTTGAGTGAATATTGAGAGCTCTGTATTGGAGTAGTTAGAAGTCGTGTAGATTCGATAGCGGGACAAAGGACTATTGCCTCAACTGTAAAGGTTACGGCCATTTTGCCAGGGACTGCCCTAATGAGCCTGTGTGCAACGCGTAGGAGGTCTCAGGAAAGGGTGTTGATGATGATGATGATGGTTAGGTGTGGTATGGAGGGCCACATCGCTGTTAATTGTCCGAGGGCTCGGAGGGGGTTCTCTCGGGGGCGTTCTCCATCGAGAGAAGCGAAGTGGGAGTCGTCACCAGCAGGGCGTGGCGGATGGTTCAGCGACAGGTTCGATAGGGCTCTGATAGACGAAGAAATCTGTTTGAATTGCAAGAGGCCTGGGCATGTGTTCAGAGATTGCCCCAATGAAATCGTGTGCAATAAGTGGGCGTTAGCATCAGGGGTGTTTTTGAAATCACTGTCAGATGTGGTGGGGCCGGTCACAAGGCTTATGAATGTCCGCAAGGAGAGGACAGGTCGCCTCGGAAGAGGTGGGTTGGACGGCTGACGACTGAGTTGACTTTGTTATGGTATGCAATAGGTCGCAAAAAGACTGCTATATCTGTGGCGAGCTCGGTCATATCGCCTCGGAGTGTCCAAATAGGGATCAACAGTGAGTAGGATTTCTTGGGATTGCCGAGGAGTGTAGATGAGCCAGGCGTCCGAGGGAGGGTCGACTCACCAGCAGATGGGCCAAGAACGAGGACCGGGCCTCGAGTTGGGCCCGGGCGAGCGCCGATGACGAATTGTGCTATAACTGCCATCAACGTGGTCACAAGGCAAGGGACTGCAAAAACCGGCCTATTTGCAGGAAGTCATACCACTCCTTTGTCACATCTCGGATGATGGATCCTCTCAGTTGCCATCGTGAGGGCCATATAGCTCAGGACTGCCTAGCCTCTAGAGGAGATGCCCCATCGGAACACACAGTGTGTCGGAATTGTCGCCAGACTGGGCACCTCTCGCGAGACTGTCACAACCCGCCTGTCTGCAATAGGTAAGACCACCCTTTCCTCGCCTTCTTATTTCATCAGTTGTATATCTACAGGTGTAATAAAGTCGGCCATAAGGCAGCGGCTTGTGAGGCTTTCTGAACACAGACGATAATTACCATTTATTTCAACAACATAGAGTTGTGTTATATAGACGATAATGTCAATAATGTTATGACCACTTCTCATC